GAAGCCAGGTGTCCTGACTCCCAGTCTCGGGCCTTATTCCACACTGCTGGCACGGCATCGTTCAGCATGGCCAAGCTTGCTTCCTGCCCTGCGCTACTCCCAGGTGCTCAGCTGCCCACACGTGCATCAGAACCCGGGCCCGGCTGGATGGCGTGACAGAGGGAGGCCACAAGTGATGTGATGGGAACGATGAGGGAGGCTGGTTTGATGGGAAATGGGTTTGGGGGGCAGAGGCTGAGACAGGAAGTTCAACAAGTTCCCATGGGAAGTTTCCACAAGCCTGGAGGCCCCTCCGAACTTCAGGTAAGCCCCTGAGTTGCCAAGGGTGGAGCCCCTGGAGATGAATCTCAGGAGTCACAAATGGAGAATCCAGTGCCTGCAGCTGAGCCCAGCTCCCCCCTGGGCACAGAGCACAACCTTCTAGCAGGGGCTCTGGTTTGAGCTCTTCCAGGCCAGCAGGGATGAACTTGGCAAGTCACTTCCCTTTTCTTTGCCTCAGTTTCCTCATCTGCAGTCCTCACAGGCTAGCTGGGAGGAGGCATCCATTGGGTCCCCAGGGGTCTGTCCTGGGCCCAGTATTGTTTCACATCTTCATTAACATTTTGGAGGATGGCACTGAGCAAATGCTTAGCAAAGCTGTGGATGACACCAAGCTGGGTAGAGATACACTACAGACACTCTGGAGGGCAGGGCTAGGATCCAGAATGACTTGGCTACACTGGAGAAATGGTCTGAAGTCACTCAGATGAAATTCAACAAGGACAAATGCAAAGTCCTGAATTTAGGGTGGCATAATCTCACACCCAAATCCAGACTGGGAAAGGGCTGGCTGGGCTCAGATACTGCAGAGAAGGACCTGGGAGTTTCAGTGCACTGTAAACTGAATAGGAGCCAACAGTGCACTCTTGTTGCAAAAAAAAAGGCCAATAGCATATGGGATGTACTAACAGCAATGTCTCTTGCAAATCAAAGGAAATGTTTTCTTTCCGTTCGATTCAGTGCTGGTGAGTGCTGGAGTCCCGTATCCAGTTTTGGGCCCTGCTCTTCAAGAAAGAGGTGGACAAATTGGAAAGGTCCAACGTGAGTCCAAATTGGTAACCGTCTTCAAATGCCGGAAGGGCCATTATAAAGCGGATGGAGATAGACTATCTCCATAGCCATATGGGACAGGACTAAAAGCAATGGCCTCAAGCTGCAGCAGAGGAAATTTAGGTTGGAGATTAGGAGGAACTTTCTGACTATGAGGGTGGGTCAAGGACTGGAACAGGCTGCCCAGAGAGGTTGTGAACACTTTATTCTCGAAATTTTCAAAAGCAGGTTGGACACACACTTGGCTGGGATGGTTTAGTCAGGGACAATCCTGCCTGAGCCAAAGACAGAACAAGATGTGTCCCTTCCAGAGCCAGTAGGTGGCATAGGTAAGCTTTGCATTGGGATTCAGCGGCCGCAAAACTTCAGAAGAGAAAAATGCTTCTCATGCAAAAATGAAATAAAAACATGAGCCAAACATTCCCCCCAGCTGGACATTTCTATGCCAGCTTTGGGAAGCAGTAGCTGAGCTGTCTCGTCTCTTTTGTATCACTCTTCTGATTTGGTCTTTAGTGCTGCTTGAAAAATGGTAGCGGATAGAGACCGGGCAGTGTCCTTCTCAAGCAGTGGTACTCAACCTTTCTACATTCAGGATTCCCCTTGTTAGGCTCCAGGCACTCCGTGGTCAATGCCAGCTCTTAGTTTTCACTCCTTTTTGGACTACAGAAAAATTATGGAGCAATTCTTTTGTTGCAAAGAATACAGAAAGACCACAGCTAGTCAGGGTGGAAGATTTGGCCTTCATATGCAATCACCAAGTGCAAGCAAGGGGCAGTAGATCCACCATGGACTGTGCCTGCTGTGGCCGGATCTGGACCACTGGCAATGGGAGTGGGGGAAGAGTATGGGGCTATTAGTGTGGAGCCCTGGTCAACCGCTCCGTGACATGCCATGCCATGCCATGCCATGCCAATGTCCCCATGTGATGAAACCATGACACTTTGCTGTTCTTGGGCCTTGCATTTGTGTGCAAGGGATGGGATCGGGGTGGGATTTGCTCAGCACTTACATCATTGACTGAAGCTTCTTTCACGAACTTGGGGCAACCTTCGTCTCCATCCTCTGTGCAGTGTCCAACAACTCGACGATGCTCAACCCATTCAAGTGGGATTTTCTACAGTGCTCCCAGGCACCTCCGCTCTGCTCCCAGTGGAAGCTTTAGCATTGATTTCAGTGGGAACTGGAATCTGCCCCCGTGCCGCCATGCAACAATTCATGTGCAGCTATTTGCCTCATCTTGCCAGATGGAAATCTGTTTCCTGATCAAACAAAGTTCCAGAAACAGAAAAAAAGCTGGAGATAAATCCTCACCTTGTGTAAATTCATGCAGCTCCATCCGTGTCTATAGCTTGATGTCAGCTGGCCCTTGCAGGGACTGTAAGGAACCAGACCATAAATGATCGTAGATCTTGATTGTCATTGAGGATGATGCTGAGGATAAAGAAGAAGCCTTAACTGTCCTGCTGGATGCAAGTGGCTGGTCATTAGCTCTGGTGTAGGATTAGTCTGTATTAGTCTTTATATGGCACCCAGCACATTGTAACTCCAGTCCATAATGCTACAGCAGTGCAAATAAAAATAATACTTAACAGGTGTGAACATGGCAGCAACACATTTCCAAATGAGGACAAATTTCCAAACCAGACTGAAATGCAAACAGGGATTTTCATGGGAGCCACTGAAAGACAGAGAGCTTTGGACACTTGTACCCCTTGGCAACCTCCCAGCCTAAATCCCCAGCTGTTCCCATTTCCCAGAGAACAGCCTCCCAGCCCCCACCTCCTCTAATTTGATTTTTGTCAGCTGCCACCAAAGACCCCCTCACTCCTGCATTTCCCCAGATGTCTTGCTTGGCCTAGAGGCTCCTGGTACTAGCAGCAAGGAGAGTGCCTGTATTTCTAGAGGCAGAGGGAAGGGGCTGGCTGCTAGCTTTGGCACTGAAACCTTCCTTGTACTGCTCCAAATGCAGAGGCCACCGCTTTGCTTTTGAATGAATGATGCGCTGTATTGAAAAAAAGCCCTTTCTTTTTGCACCATGCCACATCCCTTCCCTGGTCGGGCCCTGCCGGAGGCTGAGTATCCTCCGTCCTGCAGAAATCGGTGACAACCAAGAGAGCTCTGCGCCTTGCGGTTCAGTCCCCTCCCTCCCTCCCCCCCAAAATATTTGCTGTCTTCTGTCCAATCAGAGGAGACAAGACACTGAAAGCTCCCCCCCCTTGTGCTTCATGCTGCCCACTCTCCACCCACCCAGAGCACACACCCCCCACACTCTCCCAGCACACAAAAGCAGTGCAATTAGCTGTCTTAAGAGAGCTGAGGCTTTACCAGCTGTGAGCCGAAAATAATAAAATACCTCAGAGGCAGAGCACAGGCAGGGAAGGTGGCGGCGGCGGCTGTAGGAGAACACAAATAGCTGCCATCAGCATCTGAAACAAAGGGACAGCTCCTTCCAAAAAAGGGCCAGCACTGATGCATCCATCCATTCTCCCAAGGAGACAGCTGGGCCCACCTGCATTTCTCTTAAGACACTGGACATCCTAAGGAGATCCCTGCCCTAGGAGGAGGAATGAACAGCTGGGATACAGGAGTGGTTGTCTTTGTTCCTCAGTAGAGAGAACAGGCAGGCGAACGGTGAGTACAGAACGTCCTCCATGCCTCCATACTGCTGGGGAAAGGTTTATTTTATCAGCATCAGGTCTGGCTCTTGGGGTTTGGGGTTTTTTATTTTGCCTCGACAATGCTATAAAAAGGGAGCAGAGAGGGTAGGTTGTGTTCTTAGGCTCTCCGTGGGCTCCAAGACATCCATCCTTCCGACATGTTGGGAAATCAGGACCTGGCACAAATCTGATGCTTTCATGAGCATTGCAACCAGCAAGGCGCTGGGATAAAGACAGACGGAGGGATGTATGTGCTCAGAGGCATCGTGCAGACACAGGAAGGGGAGAGCAGCATGGTGATGCCTAACTATACCGCTCATCATGCTGCTCCAGCTCCCATCTCCCAGAACAAATACTAATATAAAAACTACCAAGTGCTTCTAGCCAGCTTCCCCTCCTCAGAGCAATGCAGGGAGATGAAGGAATTGATCACCCTCTATATCCATCAGTCAGATCCCCCGCCTTAAAAATACATGACTGCTTAGGATGCATAAAGGCGCTGGTTTCCAAGAAGAGCTTTCTAATAGGTGAACCTTGGGTCCAGCTTCAGATCTCACTGGCCCCGGTGCAAGCCTGGAGTCCATTCACTCCAGGGCTGTTATTCAGGTCTCGAGCTGATGCAACAAGATTGCAGTCTGGCCCTTTGCATTAAAAATGTTACTGGACAAATCATGTAGATCATCTGTATTGTGCACCATGAATGCAGGGTAAATGCTTGTGCGCATTTCCAGTATGTACTGCCTCCTGTGTGTATGGGATGTTATTTATTTAGCTTGAGGCTATGCCTGGTGCTGAGCAGAAACAGGGCCTTAACTCTGCTTGCTCTGACCCCAAAAGGCTCTTCGGTGTCATCCAGCAAACTGAGGAGTGTGTGGGCCCTTCTTAAAGGAGCATGCACTGCAAGATGTTGGCTCCGAATCTGTGCATGCCCCACATTCCTTCGGGTGTCACAAGGAGTTTTAGGTAGGCAAGGAATACAGCATCGGTTTCTAAAAATAGACAAAACAGAGCTGATTCGTGTCGACTGGCAGTGTAAATGGCCAGTCAATGGCCTTAAATCAAAAGCAAACTATAGGCACCCTCATTTTTAGGCCCCGTGACACTGCTGGGCAGCGGTCTTAGCATAACTGAGAATTCGGCCATTTGATCCTGATCGTGCTGGCATTGTACTGGCCTGGATCAGAAGTGTTTCCATTAAGTCAAGGGGTTACACCAGTGCAAAACAGGTGTAAGTGAGCACAGAATCAAACCCACTGAGTCCATTTGTGCCACCACCGTGCAGGTACTCTGCACGCCCAGCATGTGGCTTTATACCCAATTGAGGGCCAGTGATGATTTCTACCAGGATAGCACTTGGAGGTCCCTCAGCGAAGCTGGACCAGCACTTTCCTCCTAGACTCACCACTCTCCTCCTATCTAAACATGGAGGCTAGCTGGATCCCAGCAGCAATTTCCTTGGGAAACACAAGATATTCACATCCCTCTGAGACAGTACAATGAACGCAGGTGCCACAAGACCTGAGACCAACTTGGTATTTTTGCCTTTCAACCTGTATTTCATGTCCTTTGGCCCTTTTGGCTGTGACCAGCACTGTTGTTATTGCCAGAGAAGATAAACTGAGAGGTGTATCTGTGGACCATACAACCAAACATGGTCATTCGCAGTGGATCTTTGCAACCACTGGGCTAAGTGAGAATCACAAAGGGGCAGGAATAGGTTGTCTGCGGTGGTCGCACCACCTACCTGCCAACCTCACCAGATTTTTTTGGCCAGCAACATTGATGTCCATGGAGCGCTCTGCCCTGGAGCTTTCTGGATCATCCCTCCATGCTAATTTTATGTAGAACGTATATTTAATCAGTCGCATTCAAGCTCATGCTCCCCGTCCCTCCCCTGACACCACCCAGGGCTGGATTTTCCAAGTGGTTCTGCCAGCCCCTCTCCAAGCCCCAGCCCTGGGGAATGACACTGGGAGGCAGAACCCAAAGTCTGTAGTTTGAAAGGCATCTTTGTCAAGGCTCTTGTTACCAGCCCTGCTGTGTTTCGTGCTGCAGACCAAGCCTCCCGGCACGTGACACTTTGTGTGACCACAACCCCTCCAGGAGCAACATGGGCACCACGGAGGCCACGCTGCGGATGGAGAATGTGGATGTGAAGGAGGAGTGGCAGGACGAGGACTTTCCCAGGTTTGTTCCAGCAAAGCCTCTGCTAAAGGCTAGGGAAAATTCAATTTGTTCCCCAAAATTGTCAAATGAGAAAGGGAAGGCGGAGTAGTGGGGCTGGGGCTTCTCTCCGCTGCTCAGACTGCAGTGTTTGGGTATTGGTGTCTCACCCAACTTTTAGAACTGTGGGTATGGCTATCATCATGAACCACAATCATCCCTCCACAGGCAGGTGGGAAGTGTAGGGTGAGCAAGGAAGACCGTCAGACATAGTGAGCCGTAACAGAAAGACAAATGCCTGCTTTCCTCATCTAGGATAGAGAGTGCCTCCACCAGAGAGCAATTCTGCCTCCCCTGGCTTTGCACTCGGACAGGGAGTCCTGGTGAAGTAACTGGAGTCAAGGGCCCATGGGCCACAAGAAGTGAGACCGTTCTGGGCTGTGGGATCCGGCCCAAAGGAGGAACGTGTTTCAGGCCACCTGGCTGAGGGAATGGAAATGCAAAGTGGTTTCCCTCCAGCTTGCACTTTATCAGCCCGCTGGTCCCTTTACACTTCCTGCACCCAGGCAGGGCAGGACTCACGGAGGCCGTTCCCTTTATATGTGGGAAACTCCTGGACGTGCTTCCCTCTACTTGCAGCCCTTAATCCTGCTGCTGTTCAGCCAGCCAAGTCTCCTGCTGTCCCCCTTCCTTTGCTCCTTGGACAAGGAAGAAAGTCAATCCAAACTCGCTGGCAAAGACTGCACCCCATTGGGCCAGGTTGTTGCTATTTATCTGTATTGAGTGCATGTGAAATTCCCTTAAACTCATAAAGCCTCATGTGCAGTGAGTGAATTGACTGAGCAGGTATCAGCCTGCTCCATTAGGCATTCAATAGAGATGTTCAGAGCAGAGTACAAGGGGAGGGGGCATCAGGTAAGCCCTAGCTTCTAATTTGCCCAGGTGGCAATGGGTAAGTCACTGAGCAACTCTGGAAGACAAAGGAAATTTCCACTCGCTTGGAAGCCCTGCTGTAGCTGAGACCTTGCAAGCACATGCATCAAGGCCCCTGCAAAGCAGGCCAGACTCAGCCTGGGTGTAAGCAAGTCTGCTCCACTGAACTCAGAGGAGTTCACAGACTCACAGATTTTGTCGTGAGGAAAGACCAGCCAGGGCAGAACTCCCTCTTGTATTTTTCCCAGGGTTTGAAACCAAGTCTAAATGCCAGGGGCCACAGTCAGTGTGGACTCTCGCTTTTCCATACGGAACCTGTTTCCCAATAAATAGGCTTCAAAACCAGGAGTTATTTACTGTACGTCTCCCCCTTCTTACTTCCACCCAATTAGTCCTGTTCACATACCCCGTGCCACACTAGGACGCTGCCTTGCCCACCCCTTGGCTGCAAGATGGTCAGGTAGAGAAGGGCCTGGCTACATCTGCCCGCACCCAAAGTGGGCCAGCACTTGCCTCACTCCTCTCTCTCTTCTCCTGGAGATACCTGTGCAGAATGCCGGCGGCCCAGCTCCATGCTGAGACTGGAGGCAGCTGGCAGTGCCAGACGGGACTCAGATCCA